ACACACGTGTCATTGAGGTCAAGATAAGTCTAGTACATTTAAGCATGCGAAAAGCGCACCTTTATCGTATTGCTAGATTTTTCGCGACAAATAAATAGTATAGTGAAACACTGGCATTGTATTTACCTCCTCATTAACATTTGTCTTAACATTACAGATCAGACACAGAAATCATCGGATTATCTGTGCATGCATGCTTAAATATGTATGTGATCTACTTGCCAGGATTTTTCAGAAAGTTTCTCAAGAATTTTTTCTCTCTTGTGATGGCTATAGCTAATGTTAACAGACACATTTTTATCATTATATGTTTTTAACATGGGTAAAAGCGCAGTCTTGGACTTAAATTCTAACTTCGAACTCGGTGATATAGATATATCAATATATAGCATAAGACACGTATTCATAGGTGTCATCTGAGTATTAAATGTATTGTCACGGATTTGGGTTGTATCGAATCTTAGAGAGGTCTGTTCTGTAGACAGGTATGTATTATTCATGCCGGAGTGTACACGTCTGCAGCCACATTTGTACACGTGGGTTAACATTATCACTATCCACGTAACAGATCCCGTGCTTGATTATCTTTAACACAGGAAAAATAGTAATAACTTGTTATGAAATCTATCTATCGCACCATCAACGTCTCATGAAATGTGGATCTAATTTGACCATATTATCGATTTGTTACTTGGTCATGCTGCAGAAGATGATGACGTCAGTAGCGCCATAGTGTGTGATAGCTGCACATAGGATAAAGATATAATTATTTATCCCTACCAGAATAAGTGTTAAAGTGTTAAAGAGATCTCTTGGTGTTTTCACAGTTAGTTTTCTAAGCATTTCATGATATGTTATTATACTGAATTTAAGCATTATAGTCGCTTAGAACTTTCAATCAGGTTCAACATGATATATTGACAATTAAGGAAAACATCAAAACTGACCAAGATACCTTTCTAGAAAATGAGTTTACATTTGAAGAGGTTTATTCGATATGAAAAGGTCTTAAAACAAAAAAGTCAGGTGGTCCAGACGCTCTGGTGTATGAGCATGTTAAATACTGTTACAGCTCCTTTGTCACACATATAACATATCTTTTCAGTCTTATTTTTAAGTATGGATATATTCCAAAATCGTGGAAATTGGGCACGATAATTACACTGTAGAAAGGTAATCGGAAACCGAAGGACGATCCAAACAGCTGCAGGGGCATAACATTAATTCCTGTATTTTTCAAAATATTTCAGTCTTTGCTGTCTACCCGTTGAAGTCCAGTCCTAGAGTCAGACTCATTTCCAAACCGACACTAGTCAGCCTATCGCAAACAATTATGTAGTTAATGTACTTCTTTTAATTTACAGGAAAGCATCAATTATAATCTAGACTATGCAGCCGAAGTGTTCGCTGCCTTTTAAGATAGTAATAAAGCCTTCGATTGTGTTTGGCAAGACGGGCTATTCTATAAGCTTTACAACTTGGGTATTAAAGGGAAAACATGGAACATTATGTACCAGATGTACTTTCATTTTACCAGTCGAGTCGTTTTCAACGGTTTTAAGTCAGATTATATAACTATGAAGTGAGAGATTTTACAAGGTGGGTCGTTATCTGCGAAATTGTATTTGGTTTTTATAAATGATCTGCTAAATAATGTTCAATCTAGCGGACAATAATATCGAACGCACAGAACGCGCTTGTTCTAAGTTGAAGTGTGGAGTAATGTCTTTGATTCGTTCTGGGGCACACCCATGTACGCTCATTTCCCTAACTACTGCTAAAATAGTCAAGTCTAAAGTTTACCTTTCAGCTTTTTATGGCTGTGAATGGTGGCAATTAAAGCAAAGAGAAATGTATATGCTAGAAAAGGCACAGAATTGCATTGTTAAATCAGTTCAAGGCTTCAATTTAAGAACTGGAACGGACATGTGTACATCTTTGCTTGGATGGTTTTCAATTGAAGTATATATCAGTATAAAGAAAATGCAATTTCTTTGTAGAATTTGTTTCATGAATGTGGGGTATTTAACACGCGATATTTTTATTAAACGGTTATTTGAATCCAGTCTGACCCATTTTAGTAGAGGATTTGTGCCTGATATTGTTTATATTCTAACAAAATACAATTTGTACTATGTTTTTATTAAATTCATGAAAAATGGTGTATTTCCTAACATCCTAACAAATCACAACGGAAGACTTTAATTAATGGTCATGTAAGAAAATATGAAGAAACTAGATTATGTGAAAGAATGTACGTTGATTGTGATTTTTCTCGATTTATTCTCTTACATAACACTATACATCCTTCCCCGGTTTGGAAACTTGCTCTACGTTTTTCCACAACATAGTGTTTATATCAAACGAATTGTTAAACTAAGCGTTGAAATGCGCGAAAATGAAAATACTTACCTGTGTCACTACTGTGGTTTTATGTATAAAGTTGGCATTATTCATAGCGTGCTCGAATGCACTCACAGAGAGAGTTCATGAGACCAGCTCTGGTGCTTACTCAGCACAGTGAAAGACATAGATTTTTTTAGTTTACCTTAATGAATTGTCTAACTATCAATTAATACATGTTCTTCTCGGGGGGGTATTATCAACTACGATATGTCCCCATTTGAACTAGAGGATTTTAGATTAAATTCAATAGTTTTCATCGTCAGAATCCTACATTATTATCATGCTATTTAATTGTAATGTTTGGTCATTTTGACTTCAAAATGAAATATTCACGTATTAAATCATATGATTAGTCCGTCCGTCCGTAAACAATTTTTGTTACCGCTATTTCTGGAACAGTACTGGATGGATCTTTCTCAAATTTCATATGCAGGTTTCCCTTGGTCCCTAGTTGTGCATTGTACCTTTTTTGGACTGATTCGAATTCAAGATGGCCGACAGGCAGCCATCTTGGATTTTGGAAGTAAAAGTTTGTTACCGCTATTTCTTGGAAAGTACTGGATGGATCTTTCTCAAATTTCATATGCAGTTTCCCCTTGGTCCCTAGTTGTGCATTTTACCTTTTATGGACTGATTCGAATTCAAGATGGCCGACAGGTGGCCATCTTGGATTTTGGATGTAAAGGTTTGTTACTGCTATTTCTTGGAAAGTACTGGATGGTTCTTTCTCAAATTTCATTTGCAGTTTCCCCTTGGTTCCTAGTTGTGCATTTTACCTTTTATGGACTGATTCGAATTCAAGATGGCCGACAGGTGGCCATCTTGGATTTTGGATGTAAAGGTTTGTTACTGCTATTTCTTGGAAAGTACTGGATGGATCTTTCTAAAATTTCATATGCAGGTTCCCTTTGGTTCCAAGTTGTGCAATATACCTTTTTGGACTGATCCGAAATCAAGATGGCTGACAGGCAGCCATCTTGGATTTTGAGAGTAAAATCTTGTTACTGCTATATCTGAGGAAGTACTGGATGGATCCTTTTGATATTTCATAGATATTGGTTTTCCTTGGTCCCTAGTTGTGCATTGTACCTTTTTTGGACTGATTTGAAATCAAGGTGGCCCACAGGCAGCCATCTTGGATGTCGACAGTAATACAGCACAAGCATATTGTCCATTATCCACCTGTAACTGACTGCTATCTAATAATACTTTGGGATCTTTTTCAAATGATATTTGCTAATAGGTGCTTAATAAAAATATCTTGTGCCATCATTGAGTACATTCAATGAAGACCAGTTCATGAACATTTACAACACCTGTAACAAAGAAAAAAAAATAAACAAATCTTCAAGAACTGAAAACAGATCCTCAAATGGTGGGCGCCAAGATCCCTCTGGGATCTCTTGTTATAATATGTATTTGACTAAACTGTAAGGATTACCTTAAATGATTTTATTTTCTTAACTTTAGGAGTATATATATCTATTGCGTACGTAAACTCTGTCTATTGTTTACATTGTATTAATGTAAATGCTTCTTATGTGTATATGTGTGTACTAACGCACAATTATTTTCTACAATGTCAATGTATATATGTTCTTTTTGTATAACTCTTCACATTTGGAGGAAATAAAAGAAATGATAATGGTGTTTTCACTGTTAGTTACATTTCATGATATGTTATTATATTGAATTTAAGCATTATAGTCGCTTTGAATTTTACCTCACACAGAATCTCAGTATTCTGTGATTTGTGTTTTATACAGCATTATATTCTACCTTACATTGCATTTACTAGGTTATATTCCTAATCTATATTAGAGTTAAGGGTATATACTATATTATTCATTGTTTCCGTAAGAGTTTAAGGTATATGCTTCATTGTACATATTACGTAATGTAATCATGATTTGTGTTAGGAGTTAAAGTTATATTGTACATCATAATACCTTAACTAGATCGTATTGTTAATTTGGGTTACAGTTAAGGGTATATGCTACCTCACACTAAATCAACTAGATTATATTCGTGATTTGTGTCAGGAGTTATGGGTATATGCTACCTCAAACTACATTAACGAAATTATATTTGTGATTTGTGTTAGAGGTAAGGGTATATGCTACCTCAATCTACATTAACGAAATTATTTTCTTGGTTTGTGTTAAAGGGTATATGCTACCTCACACTACATTAAATAGACTGTTCTTGTGATTTGTATCAGCTTTAAGGGTTAACCCGAACTCACATTAGAATAACGAGAGCATATTCGAGATTTGAGTCACATTGACGGATGCAGACCTGATGATTTATTTAGGGGTTAGGGATATTTGTTACATGTATTTATGAACGATATTGGTCTTGTTATTTGTGTTAAGGGTATATGAAGTATGTGTCTATGTGATAATCGTACCTGTTATCTATAAATATATGTTGCATATATCTTGTTAAATACTTTGAACCTGTTATGTATGTTATATTCTATTTTTCAATACGAGATATGAATGCTTCACAGTTTCATAGTTTTGCAATACACCCGTTACAATTTGGACTAGATTATGTATTACATTGTATATTTCATATTTTTTTTCCATCAGATAATACCTACATTCACCATGGACTCGTTTGAATCAGGAAACAAATTGGGGAAATGTCCCTACAAAATATCAGGGGATGTCTCAAAAACCAAAAAGGGATTGATTGTCCTTCAGGAATGGTGGGGACTCAATGATCAAATCAAGAATGTGGCTGTCTCGATAGGAAACATGGGAAACTTCGTGACGCTTGTTCCCGATCTTTACCGAGGCAAAAAAACTACCGACAACGAAGAGGCCGGTCATTTTATGGGTAATCTAGATTGGGAAGGGGCAGTTCTTGACATTCAAGGTGCAGCAAAGAAGCTAAAGAGTATGGGTTGTACCAAGGTAGGCAAAGCGCTATCTCTCGCGACACCAGCAAAAGTTTGGTTTTATATTTGCTTAACTCTGTATTGGCACATACAGTGTATGAACAGTTGACTTGCCGATATAAACGGGATGAGTGCATGTTTTGAGTGTGTGTGCTTTTTGGAAGACTGATTGGTTGAGGAAGATTGTTGTGGTGCGTAATTGAAGACGGTTGGTTTAGTGCTACCATAGTGAAGTATACATTCAAACACATCCAGCAGGACACAACGTCACATAATACTGACAATAGGTAAATCAGTCATTACGCTACTACATATACTGCTGGGCCTTAGGCAATGAGTTGTAATCATTTGATCAAAAACACGTGATTCGTGTACAAACCACTATTCAAGCAATTGGATCAATTTAGTTTCATTTTAATCCGATTTCTAACAACACGGAAATTATGTAATTTTCTCAAGGTTCTGATTTGCAGGTTGGAGTGACCGGATTCTGTATGGGTGGAGCGTTGTCACTGGCGTCTGCTGTACGGGTATCGGAAATAGATGCAGCAGCGTCCTTTTACGGAATCCCTGGTGACGGCCTTGCGGACGTTTCCAAAATTCGCATCCCTCTCCAGTGTCATTTCGGCACCAAAGACGCAGTAGAGGGGTTTTCCTGTCCGAAGTCACAGGCCAAACTGAGGGAGAAGTTGGATAACGGAAAGGTTGCGTATGATTTTTTCTCTTACGACGCAGGACACGCCTTCACCAACGAGACATCTCCGAACTACTATAAGGATTGCAGTGATCTGGCTCTCGGAAGACTAGTGGATTTCATGAACAAAAACCTTTAAGATTTGAAATTGTCTTCAGTTGTCAAATTATTTCAGTTATAGATTTGATGATACATATACGTTGTAAATGTGGTTTATGTACATAATAATCACATAGTTTATTTTCACAAGTGGCACCAGTAAAACTGGCGTGTTGTTTAAAATGATAATAATGGCACATGTAGTATGATATAGTGCCCTCAAACCAAATAAAGTAAGAATTCAAGAACCATTCGCTGAAGATACATAGCTTGTTACCTTGTACGTAATATTGTTTTCTTCAATAAAATATTCAAGTGTTTTTCTCTTAATTATTATATGATGAAAATTACATTGCGATTAATACACCCCATGTTAACATGTGAGGTGTTACATTATTTTTTTTACCACAATTACCTCTGAATTATGTCTACAAATTTGCCAATAGCAATACAAAAATACAAACATATCAACATGCTTATAATCCAAACTGCAATTCAGTGAAATTAGACAACATATATAAAAGAAAGATTTGAACGGAGACTCCTGAAAAAGTACCAGCAGAACAATACCAGGCATTCTGGTAGAGTAAGCGTCTTCTGCTTAATCGATCCAAATAAATAATGCCACGTTCTCAAATCATCAAAAACGTCCAGGTTCATGTCGCACAAAGAAACAGAATATTTCTCAATGTGATCACGAAGACGACCTTAAAACTGGAACGCACATGATTAACCAGTCTGCATCTGATGAAACCCAGAGTTACGGTTTTGTTTGCCAGTTGACTTTTTGAACGAAAGGAAGGAATATTTGAATATCGAATCAACTTTGACATGTAAACACTATCAGTTGGAGACGCATGGCTGTTTGCTATCAGAAATGGAAAGTTCACAATAGGGAAATTGAAATTATCACGTTTACAGCTTCCGTGTTGGAATCGTTTTAGGAAACGATCGAGATAAGCGGCTTATATGGAAGAGTCTATCGTTTCTTTGAGTTCCAATGCTGATGGATATTTAAGATGGCCATGGTCAATACATTTCTTGTTATTTAAAGACAAGTTGTCATCAATATATTTGAAAGTGAAATTAAACTACTAGGCAAGGTCTTCAATAAAATAAGCGTCGTTAGAAAACAAAACCAACTCGGCCATCAGAGGGGCCATCAGAGGGGCACAGTTAGTTCTCATAGGTGCGTCAATAGGCTGTTGGAAGGTCTTGCCAAAGATGTTTCAACCAGAAATACGATAACGTTTCATTTTCGTCCTGCTTATGTTTCTTCTTTGATTTGAACCCTCCCCCCTTTTTTTTTGTACGGAATATATATCAGCATAGTTCACAACCATATATTAATACCGCCGTTCACCCTTCTTTGAGTTGAAAGTTCTCATAACTAAATAACCTATGCGTTCTTTTAGTTTAGAATGAGGTGTAGTGGCGTACAGTTTGAAAACTCACATATCTTTAGAACAGGATATTGAAGTTTGGTTAAAACTCTTTGAAATGTATACATAAACAAAGATGGATGACTTTATTGGAACCAATTGATCCCGATCTCTTGGCATATAAAGACAATCGTTATATGCGCACCGTCACCTCGGAGAGAACCGTAAAGTATTTACGACCAAAGGAAGTCGACGATAAGAACATTGCACATTGCAAGACTTCCTGTTGATAAAATTATCAAAATACAATCTCCTGAAACCAAACTCACGATGAAAGCGTTCGTCCGTTCGAAACTTGTTCAGGGGAAATCACATGTGAAGACCAAACGAGACAAAAGGTCAACTGAAGACACATGCGATGATACAGCAAAAAAGAAATAAAAACGAAATGTTCGTCCAAAACAAAGCCAGGAATCTTCGTACAGCCTCTCGGCACACGATATAGCGGGCATTCGTAATGAGAATAGATACATCTCAACATTGAACTAAATAAACTGGACAAAGAACACCCCGAGTTAGCGGAGAAAGGAGAAGCACATGAGTTGAAAGATTGACACATGTACATATAAAACCGCTCGCCATACGTGCATCTCTGAAAACTGTGTGTGACCATTGTCTTTATTCAGCCATAAATATCGGGAAACATGGGTAACGAGATGTCCCTTTCCCGTATGAGATGTATTCCATCATTGTGGTATACTGACAAAACAAAAGGACCACCAGGCCGAGATATCAGAGATACTCATTCAAAAAATGACCAGTGTCTAGAGTTCTTTTTTGTGATCAACATTGTATGAAAACATACTGACTATAACCAAGTGTAAAAGACTGGTTAACAAATGTCCATATAATGGTATACAGTAAAATAAGTAACACAGTAAATTGGTTACCAGTTGCACACATATGTTGTATATCCACTGTAACCTTATATTGTATAAAGTTACACGTGGTCATGGTGTGACCCATATTTGTTTAAATCACAACTTCACACATACAGCCAAAACATTTATATGAAGTCCTTGTGTATGTTTTAAGTATACTTATTTACTTTATTGGTAGCTGCCTTTTATTGTAATTTATGAGATACAACAAAAACGAAATTGTCTAAAGGAAATATATGATGTACTGATGGTAGTAACAAAATATTGTACTCAGAAAAACTAAGCATTCTTTCATCACTTGCCTTTTATAATTTGAAACACATGTGTTAGGCTTTGTGTCTCTACCTGTTATGAAATGAATGAGCTTATCAGATTTTATTTATATTAATTACATGATATCAAATCGAGAAGAGTATAGCTGCATTCGAAAAAAATCCAAAAGACAGAGCAAATCAACTTTGTACCTTAAAAACAAATTCAAGTGGATACATACCTTCACTTAAGTCAAAACTAAAGGCCAAGAAACCTATCAAGTGAGACGAAGATACACGCTTGGAGAAAATACTTGATACTTTGACTCAAGCCGGTGTAGAAAAATTAATTAACATGGCAAAATCCTAATCCGTCTTTGATGACAGTTATGTTAACGAAGATGAATGTAAATATACACACAATGCAAGGAAAAGAAATATTAATTCACCAGCAGTGGTGCCCGAGAAATTGAGTACTCTTTTAATGACTACGCCGACTTCATGGTATCCATGATCATAATCCAAACTCCAAAGAAATATTTACACGGAGACTCCTAAAATTTACTAGGACAAAAGCATGTGTTCCGGAAGAGTAAGCGTCGTCTGCTTCATTGAGGACACTAGTCATCTAAGCCTTAGCCAATCGAAGTAAGAAATGTCACATTCTCAAATGAGAACAAGGTATACAACAACGCAACATTTAGGCAAACACCGGAATACATATAATCTCACACCCTTTGTGGAGTTCTTCTTGTAATTATCAGGGACGAAGGAGTCCGGTCACCAGCTCACAACTGTCACTTCACCACAGTCTGTGACTGAGGATCATTTGCCATCACTTCCACCTCGACCGGGACCTTTCTCTCCACAACCTTTGACTGAATCAGCGATTGATTGAACTCAGTTTTGTTCTTTGGCTTCTCATGATGTTATTATTGACATATAGAATTTTCAAAAAGTCCCAAAAATTTACTGTTGCATGTTACATAATTCAGCAAAGAGCTCTTATTCCAAATGCCTGAAACATGCATATGCTAATGAGTCCTTTACTTTGAGAATACTCGATAGAATATTTCTATTTCACATGAGGTTTGATTACTGCGACTCCCGAATAAGACGTATATAATAGTAGTGTGTTTACTACTGAATTTGTTCATTGGTCAAATTACTCAAAAAATAGTTTACTGACTGAACATTATATTTCATATTTAATACACATTATATGTTGTGAAGTCTGAAAATGGTTGTGTTTTGTTGATAACCTGTACATGTACATTGTATTGAAGTTCTGAAGAATCTCCCAAAAATATTCACTATTTGGTCATTGTGACAGGCTGTTACATTGAAAGAAAAAGGAACATGCGATTGTTAAGAGCCAAAATACAGACAAATGCATCAATTATCAACAATGTTGGTAAAGATTCAGTTTGATGTGATAATAAAAAAACAATAAACATTAATAACGAATGATTAAGTTAAACTGTTTCATGGTTTGAAAACTGAGATGGTTGGAGCAATGATCATTTGGCCAACTTGTGTCTTGTTATGATGTCTGTCCTCAACAGTGTTTTCCAAATTATATAAATCACCCTGTGTCAGTTACTCATCCTTCAAATATCCTTTCTCGGGAAGTACTGGGAGAATTTTTCTCAAACTATAGGTAATGTTTGGTGTCTGAGGAGACTGCATCCTGATCAACAAGTGACAATAACATTGTCAAATTCCAAATTAGCCTAGACAACGACTATTTGTTATCGCTATCTTCATACCTGTATTAGATCCTGATACAACCCATGATGGGTGCCAACATCTCTTACAATTATAATATTTGGCTATGTCTGCAATCACAAATGAATAGGTCGATTGATACCACGGGGAATTGACGATTTATTACAGGTAAACAGGGATCAAAACTGGTGCGTTGAAGGCCATTGTTTATTAATCATTGTTTACCCTTTACCAACCAAATTCATAAAGACACAGGTTAGGTAAGGCCAAAATAAAAAGATCAAGCGATTTAATCATCTTCCTCGGTTTAAATAGGAGAGAGCCTTTATAAGGGTATGGAAACAGGATTTGTAAATTTTTAGTGACGGAAATTATCATAAAACTGAAAGCAGCATTTTAATATATCAAAATTGATTGAAGATCAATTAAAAATAACACATGTAAAAAGAGGAATAAATCTTTTCCTCTTCTTCCCAAAATATTTAAAATGTCAGCCATAGGTATGTAAAGGGAAACAACCAATAACTACACACGCTAAATCATAAATATACGGAGTTAGATTATAGAATATAACAAGTTTCCAAGTCGCTATGGCCACTAGATACCTGCACTGTACAGCGGAGCTCGACTGCACATACACATGTGCACGTATACATGTATACGGAGTATTGAGCTTGTGTTTGAACAGGAATGGTAAGGTGGACGCATGGTAGAATCTACACTCATAGAAAAGGTGTTGATGAAGAAGCCCGACAACAGATTATCTTTTATATCTTTATTTTGAAAAATGTTGCTACCAGAAAAGGAGCGGTCCAACTTGCTTATTTTCCGTGGAATCATTATCGTTACCTATTTACCGACACTGTGGAAATCCAAACTGAAAGCCAAGTAAGGAGACCTAAATCTTACGTACGTGTAAAACACTGGGATGTTTCCATCGAAATATTTAAACAAGTCTTTCTGTAGTTTATGAAAAGAGATTTCTGAAACCGGAAATTTTTCTAAAATTAGATATACCACCTGGAACATCGATATTATAAGTTAAGGTTTGCAAAACATTTTTAATTGTAACCAGCAGTGTTATGAGGAAGAAGGACATTGAAATTATATTTCTATAAGTTACAGAATACCGATATACTCTAATCAGCAAAGAGAAATATAGTGGACAACATTAACCGATCGCAGGTTTACACGGGACTTACAAGGGGGAATGCTTTATTTTTATGAAAAGCGGTCAACGTCCATCTAGTAAATATAAATGATATTTCTTTTATGTCACCAATTCGTAGTGTAACCTGGGTTAAATATATTCGGGTCGTAGGGTCACCAGTGCACATAGGAATATATGTACTGTGAGCGTGTGATTGGACGCATGTTACCCTTTCACCCTTTCCCGCCACCTAAGTGACGCTACCAGTATAGGCTTCACTCTTACGTTGCCTATGCTGGTGGACGGACGCGATCTGATATTTCTGGACCCCCAGCACAGACCCTGGTAAGTACACAGCAGAATTCTTACCTCGATTTTGTCTGATCAGTGGTGCGAGATCTAGTGTGCAAGAACGAGTATGAACTGTATGGAAGTGATCGTGAGAAGTCTTTTATTTATATTATAGGTCTTTCTCCTCGGACCAATAAATTTCTAAACATACACCAAGAGTCTTTCATCTGTTGACCGGTGTTACAGTAGCGTACTTAATTTAAACATGTTTATCACACAGAATAGCACAAAAGACATATATGTGAACATTATATACGAAAGAGCTATATTATTAACTATACTGTATTACAAAGCTGTTTCATCCCTCTCTGACTCTCCAGTGATTTGAAGACCCTGAATTTTAAACCTACGAGAAAAATCCATATGATCGAGAGAAATGCCAACATCAAGCTAAGGAGGTGCCCTATCACCGTGATTAACAAAATCGTAATTGTCCATAGATAATAAAGTGGTATTAGCACAACAAACTCGTAGAAGGAAGTTTCACGTTAGTGGTACAAAAAGATTGGCTGTTGGCTTTATTTTAAAGTGACATCATAGAATGCCAATAATGATACATTTTATAATTTATAACGCTCGTAGTTGTATGCGTTTGTACTTGTCGTAGACAAACACGAGTAATTGCGGAAGATAAGTGTATGCTCCTCCCATGCAAAAGGAAGATAGTCGTTAAATAATGAGTAAGGACATATGATCAAACCCATCCAGCTGTTGGTCATTTGTCCAATCAAAAAATCTGATATCATAGAGTGCTTACATTACAAATGTTTCAGTAACTAAGTTGCCGATGAATATTACAATATATCTATTGGAGACGTTTCTTAATCTGAACCATTTCAATGTGACATCAAGGAGTGAGAAGGTACGTAAGACATTGTCAACATAGAATCATTATTACAACTAGTCCATTTACTATTAATCATATATATCAAAAGTTTATATGTTTTATATGGATTTAAATACAGATTTTGAGTTTACTATAAATGCGGATTAAAAACAATTATTTATTGAAATCGCTCTCAATATTGAAGTTAAAATTTTCAGGTCATTGAACTTAATTAATCTTTTTTATTTCAACATTTCTGTACACTAATATTGATTTTCCTCACTAGCCTTCTGTGTTTCAATAAAATTTTAAGCATCATTGAGTCCCATAAAGATGACGAAGTCTTATGACGTGGTTAATTTAAAATTTAGTCATACAGTATCTAATTATAATATTTTACGGAAAGGTGTCATTCACTTGTGAGTCATATGTACATATTCACAGACATCTATATTTCTATCACATCTGAATCTTGCTATCTACTTCATTTTCATCCTCTGATTGGTCACACACATATTGCATAATAGTTTATCGTATATCATGTAACTAATAGTCATCAAACCTATACCTGTCCAAAAATCAAAAATCCTAAAAATCATTGGCGTCTTTTGACTTTTCGAGTTCAACATTTTTCTTGCATTTCTTCTTATGCAACAGGACGTAGCACGAATTCATGTATTTTTGGTTAATTTCTTGTAACAACAATTCATATTTCACTTTAGTTTTCCTGCCATGGCGACCAAAGACGAGGAAGACAGCTTGGTCCTCAATACAACCATGGATTCTGTTGCAGCTTCCAAAATAACAAGAATCATGCAAGAACAACTGTTTGATCTATTTCCAATTGTTTTCCATGTAGCAACGATAATTTCGAAAATACGTGGATGGGTAAAGGAGGTCAAAGTACTTGGGAGTGTAGGGGAAGGTTTGGTCTACTTTGGTCTGTTTACTGGCACCGAAAGTGATGGCGACTTTATGATGGTAAGCGAAAACTCTCTCGCGTATGAACACTGTTGCGTTCAAGTTCCACTATCCTACTGGCTTTTTCAAATACAACCTTGTACATCTAATTCTGGGTATGTCAGGCTCCGCTTAAAAAGGAAGGGAAACGTCAGACTCTTCAATACAACTCTATTTGATACGGCGTCATTATTTGAATATGATAAACAATCGGATAGTAGTTATTTAACCAATGAACTCACATCGCATGCAACTCCGCTGGTACAAAATATGTGTTTTGCTTTACCTAGTATCAAGGTCAGAGATTCCTACACCAAAATAGTCAATTCGGGGCCTTGCATCACCTTGTCAAACGCTAGCGTATGTCCGAAAATGGGACCTAAAGATGACTTGGACATGGTCATAGGAATAGAGTGTCCTGAATGGCCATCAGTGGCTATGGAATGGATATCGCGGGAAAGGTTCAGCGGATATCCATCACGGGAATTCATAGATCAACAGGTTTCGCGTGGTTGTTACTTAATTCCAGTTGGTTGTAAAGAATGCAAACAAACACATTTAGATTGGAGAATTTCGTTTGCTCATATCGAACAATCAATAGTCCACAATATGAATGAAACCCAGTTGAACTGCTTATTATTGCTTCGGCAGCTTAAGAAATTCTTATTTGAAGTCAAAATTCCGAAGGTGATTACCTCTTACATCATCAAGACAACAGTCTTCTGGACTATAGAGGAATCATCTCCAGATCTGTGGCAACGACGCAGATTGCTAACGGCAGTTAAAGTGTGCCTGAACAAATTGATCACGTTCATACAGAACGGCTTCTGTCCACATTACTTCATCAGGACTTGTAACTTGCTGATTCGGAGATGTTCTCCTTCGAATAAGAGCATGGTCTTGCAAACTTGTTTGGAAGCCAGGCGCAATCCAATGAAAATATTGTGTCAAACCCCTCCGTTCGTACAAGAGATACCTCTCCAACGCTCGCAACATCAACTGTCCTCAGAATACTCTGAGCAGTGGGTATTCGACGTCATTGAAGAATTCTTTGCAACAGCGTGTCCGTCACTGATGACACAGTTCATAATAAATCATATATGTTTGTGCCTACAGTTACAGCTATCTCAAAAAGACTCGACAGAAGAGGTACAGCTTTACTGTATGACTTTGATAGAGGAGATTAATGATTTCTGTAGCAGTTACACAGGTAAATGTAAACAGGAAGTGGGTATAATTCAAAAGCAGATACATCAATTCGTAAAACGGCTGCTTATGACAGGTAAGCTTGATGCCCGTTCACTTCCTAACGATGTAAATGAAGAGGATGTGAATGACATCGCTAACATCTGTCACTTACTTGTAGTTACTGAAAACTACAGCAGATGCCATGATATACTCTCGAGGTTCCTCAATGCTCAAAAGCACACATTGTATAAAAGGCTGATACACCAAGGATTAATCGCTACTGGATCTGATTTCAACACTAAAAAAGCAATGTTTAATGCTCTTCTACTGCTCACCAGTGATAAAACATTAAACATAACAGATTTGATAATTTTGCAAATAGAAGAGAACACTGTTCCAATCCCACTTCAAATCGAACTTAACCCGATTCCGATAGGTAGACCGGAAGTTGATACATTGCCCGGAAATAGACCAACCATCCTTGTAGATCCACTCGTATACTTGTGTTTTCTGAAGTTCTGGTGCAGCATGAAAATGGATCAAAATATTGAGAAGCTGAGGGCCCGAGACGATATGGTGTGGTGTTGTGGTCTGATTAACATATCTGAGAAATCAGTGGCCTTTAACCTATTGGCGTTCTGTCACATTCAGCTCCAGGAGTATGAAGAGGCGTTTGCGGTACTCTGTCGGGCGTACAGGGAGAAACCAGTGAATTGTTCGACATTGATTCATATTGCAAATCTTGTTAATAACAAACTTCACATGTAAGTTTGTTGACGGAAATGCTGTGTCAATGTGAAGGTAGTGTTGTGGTGATAGGGTGGGGATATTGTTGACATCCAGAGAAATATACGATACTTCAAAAGAAAACAATAACAAAGACAATGCATGTCCCTGATAAAAATATCACGATTTCCGTGATAAATGTATACAACAGAGACATTATAAATCTTCAAATGTTTACTAATCATTATTTTCATCTATATGTAAAATTTTCTACAAATTTAAATCCCAGTGCGATTTGCTGTTTGATGTGTTAGGATGTTCTTTGATATACCTGTTATATTCATTATCAACTCATTGTTCACTTTACTTTCCGAAATAAAATGAATTATTCTTTTTGTGACTTTATCAAGAGACCCGTAAAATCTGTAATTGGTACATATTTTCCATCTTTGTTTATTTTCATATAGACATTTGATACTAGCATGTCGGTATTGTGTTGTTGTTTACAGAAACCACATAAGACAATTCCTCAGTCACTTGGAAAAAATAACACCACCTGTGTCTTACTTCCGTTCTGGGGACTTCATAAACTCTTCCGGTTACAAAGGAAACTTTTTACAAAACCACAAGATACCAGTCACCAGGAAGGTGTAACATAATATGTATTACAAAGAAAATTGTTTCCGGTTTCTCATGTCTCTATGAGTTAACTACGCAGAGAGGTATTTAAGTATTGATAAGTGAAATAATCTACTTCCACACGATTTCCCATGCAGGTAGCGTACAGTAAAAACATTAAAAATATCTATTTAGAAACGAAACAACATTTTGATTAGTTTCCTTGACAGAGATTTAAAAAACTTTGTTTTGTGACAAAATGAATCTAAACTATAATAAGAATTTAAGCCAGAAATGCACCAGTTCAGCAATACTACCAGTCAAATGGACTACATATACCAAACTTAATAAATCACCTGGTAAACACAGTTGAAATTTTACGTATAGCTGGCTATTTTGTCGGATCGACATTTAAAACTATCGAATTATATTCCAATGCATTTACGACATCGATATGTGGATTCTAAAGGACATTGAATAAATACAGTGTTTGACGTTTTGAATTTTCGAGATCACGTTAATGTATTGCGATTTACTGAAATATTGTCTCCGCGAAAAAATATTACAGAATCTTATATCAGAATGTTGAAATAATTGATACACGTATATTAGTATGATGACAGTTAATCGTTTCTTGGCCTTATTTCGAAGGCCTCTATAACAGTATACTAGAATTGAAAAAGGACAGAAAAAATGACAAAGGAAAGATGTACACAGTAGTCCTTGAACAATAAACAGGCACAAAAAGGAGATCAGTTCCGGAAAGATAAGCTATTCTGTGTAGTCTTAAAATTGTTAACAATGATTCATACAGATACACCAACAGGAGTAATCGTACTCGTAAATTTCACCTTAACGTGTAAAATGTCATGTTACATGCAGGTAAATAATGTACAGGTACTTATGATAATATAGGGAATTTTTCATTTCTTAGTAAAGCGATACTATAAAACGGACAAATTCTATGTATTTCTGCCCCTCACAAGGCAGTCATGAAGCTGCGAAGTTGCATTATAATATGCATATATATATATATATACATTGTTCACATTCTTGCATTTCAGTATTAATTGGGTTTTGAACATATCATTGATTAACCAAATACATATTACATTGATTAGAATGCCTTCTCAACATGACTGTCTTTTCTCGCTAATTCAAGAAATACACAATTTAATTGTGATACTAAATGATTGACATGTTATTCTACTTTAGACGTGACGTAATAGAATGTGTGTAATGCAACATTTTGTAATTCGTAAGATTCAGTGTCGTATGAATTGATATTTACCATGGGAAGAAATGTACCTCCTATGCAAAAGAACTTACATATTTAGATAATTTGAAGCACCTAGTTCAATTGGCTACTTCCGACGTCATTGAGAGGTCACAGTATATATGATTAGGAAGCTAGGTTGCCGATCACTATTAGAAAATATCTGCTGAAGATTGTTCCTAGCTGAACCATCACAATGTGCAGAAGAATAACTACATACGTTAAGGTCTACATTAAACAGTGACGGGTTATTATATATATACGATATGATACATGTTATATAGTATAAAGTGTCTAATTAATACACGTATATACTTATTAAAAGAATATATATTCAAATATTCTAATGACAGGCAGTTATTTGGTAAGGAGTTTACTAGATATTGATATGAGTGCCATAATACAAAATAGCTATAACGTTAAGATATAAGACAGTGATTCATAACCAAGACATTAAACAGTGTTGTCCAAATTAATCAAAAGAACAAACAGACAATGCTTACCCTTGGCTTTATATGGGAACAATTTCCATAAGTTTTTAGAAAAAATAATGTTGAATTCAAACTGTTCTAGTGATATAACTTTTCTGCATACGTAGCATACGTAATAATTACAAGTGATAGATCACATATGTAGATTTTTGTACAAACATTTTCTGTTTACGGTATTTCTGTGTATCATCTTTGCTAAAACATCCCTATGAACACGATTAAAATCGCAAAACTTGCCTATGTCAATCGACTATTCTATAAAAATAATTTTTAATGGGCATTCGTTTCATTTTTTTCTCGTGCGTTATTATGTCTGTTTCAAGTCTGTTTGGTACATTTCCTCTTTGAACATTTCATGTTTTACTTCAGATCCCTACTATGGCGACCAACGACAAGGAAGACAGCTTAATTCTTCAGGCAATGATGGATTGTATAGGAGGTTCAAAAACCATAAAAAAAAATGTCGAGAATTTTATGATCTATTTAAGCTGATTTTTCATGCAGCAATGATAATTCTCGGAACACATGGATGGATAAAGGAGGTCAAACTACTTGGGAGTGTAGGAGAGGTTTGGCCTACTTTGGTTTCTTTACTGGAACAGAAAATGACTGCGATGGTATGGTTGTAAGCAACAATTCTCTCGCATATGATCAACGCGTTGTTCAAGTTCCCGTATCAACCTGGCTCTTTCAAATACAACCTTGTACAACTAATTCTGGATATGTTAAGCTCAGCCTAAAACACCAGGGAAACGTCAAACTCTTCAATCTAAATTTTTTTGACACGGCGTCATTATTTGAATATGATGAAACATATCATTGCCATTATCTTACCAATGACATAATCGGACGTATAACTTCTCAGTTACCAGCTGCATTTATATTTTTACCCAATATCAAGGTAAGAGATTCCTACACCAAAATCGTCAATTCGGGGCCTTGCATGACCTTGTCAAACTCGGCCATGTTTCCGAAAACAGGTTTTGTTATTGACTTGGACATGGTCATAGGAATAGAGTGTCCTGAATGGCAATCAGCGGCTATGGAATGGATATCGCGGGAGAGGTTCAGCGGATTTCCATCACGGGAATTCATAGTTGTTACGTAATTCCAGTTGGTTGTAAAGAATGCAAACAAACACATTTAGATTGGAGAATTTCGTTTGCTCATATCGAACAATCAATAGTCCACAACATGAATGAAACCCATTTGAACTGCTTATTATTGTTTCGGCAGCTTAAGAAATTCTTATTTGAAGTCAAAATTCATCAAGACAACAGTCTTCTGGACTATAGAGGAATCATCTCCAGATCTGTGGCAACGACGCAGATTGCTAACGGCAGTTAAAGTGTGCCTGAACAAATTGATCACGTTCATACAGAACGGCTTCTGTCCACATTACTTCATCAGGACCTGTAACTTGCTGATTCGGAGATGTTCTCCTTCGAATAAGAGCATGGTCTTGCAAACTTGTTTGGAAGCCAGGCGCAATCCAATGAAAATATTGTGTCAAACTCCCCCGTTCTTTAACATCATACCTTTCCTACACACGCCCCATCATCTGCCCTTCGAATACTCTGGTAATTGGCTGTACATGTTCTGTGAAGTAATGTCCCCTAATGTGATGTTATGGGTCGTCAAACATCATATATGTTTATGTCTACAATTTCAGCTATCACAAAAAGACTCGACAGAGGAAGTAGCGATGTACTTTATGACATTGATAAAGGGAATCGCGGATTTCTGCAACAATAACACATATAAATATAGACAAGAAGTTGAGATAATTCAAAAGCAGATACATCATGTCGCAAAGCGATTGCTTAAGATCTGTAGTCTGGGATATCTGTCGTCAAACATTGAGAATTTCCTTGCTGCCAATGCTCTTGCTACCGATGAAGACGTAAAGGACATGAACAACATCGCTCTCAAATGCCACTTTCTTGCAGTTACTGAAAGCTACATGAGATGTCACAATGTATTATCAAAGTTCCTCACGGCTCAAAAAAGCAGGGTTTATAACAGGCAGATAGTCTCAGAATTTGTCGCAACTCATTCCTCTTTCAACTTATACGAAGCAGTATTTAACTTTTTTTTTACTTGTGACTACTGATAAGGTATCAAACATATCAGATTTGATATTTCTGCAAATAGTAGAGGATACCGTCCCTAACCCGCTTCAAATTGAACTGAACCCGATTCTGATAGGTAGACCGGAAGTTGATACACTGCCCGTACATAAACCAACCATCCTTGTAGATCCACTCGTATACCTGTGTTTTCTGAAGTTCTGGTGCAGCATGAAAATGGATCAAAATATTGAGAAGCTGAGGGCCCGAGACGATATGGTGTGGTGTTGTAGTCTAATTAACATATCTGAGAAATCAGTGGCCTTTAACCTATTGGCGTTCTGTCACATTCAGCTCCAGGAGTATGAAGAGGCGTTTGCGGTACTCTGTCGGGCGTACAGGGAGAAACCAGTGAATTGTTCGACATTGATTCATATTGCAAATCTTGTTAATAACAAACTTCACATGTCAGTTGGCTGATCTAAATGTTGTGTCAATGAAGATAACTTGGTGATGTGTTGTGGTGATAGGATGGTGGAATTTCTGGGTTGTGATGTAATGTGATTGTGATGTTATGGTGATGGTGTG